ATGTGATTCTTATAAAATCAAGGATAAAATTAGATATGTTATAACAGACAATGCTGCAAACGTGTAAATCATTCACCATAGCATTTAACAACCATAAATCGGAGCAGCAAATTGATATGCAAGATGACACTTTGGAAAATGAAGAATTATGGGAAGACTTAAACCCAGAAGTCATTACATCAGTCATCTATCATGTAAACTCAAGTGGACCTCCAATTAAAAGACTAAGTTGCTTTGCTCATACTCTGCAACTCACTGTCAAGGATAGTCTCAAGGAGGCAAAAGTGTCAAAAATCTGCAGCCTTCTTCACACAAGAACCCTATTCAAAGAAGCCTTTGAAAGAAGGGTTGGTCTTCAGACTAGTATTCCCCAAACCAATGCCACCAGGTGGAACAGTACTCTCAGACAAATAAATGCTTTTTTGTCCCTGGATGAAGAAAAGCTGAAACACATGCTTGAAGAACAAAACCAGTATAATTTAAAACCCATCCAGAGGGATTATTCCCAACTAAGAGAACCAGTGTTGCTACTCCAGCCATTTCTGGACACCACAGATAAAGTGCAAGGTGAACAGCATGTTACTATTTCAGCAGTGGTGCCATCAATAATTGGACTATACCACCACCTTTTGGAATTTATTCCAACATACTTGGGGAACACGGTTACAGCTTTAAGAAGCAGTATTGAAAAACATTTCATTGGCATTTGCATTAATGCTGATTTGATACCATTACCAAATCCTTTGGATGACACAGAAAAATCACTATTGGCTCTCAGTCATTTCATGTACTTTCTGGCAGCTGTGTTAGACCCTAATTTTTGCTTCTTTTTGGTAGCTGGAAAAAATTAGTTATGATGATGTTAAAACTAATGCTGTGAAAGCAGAAATTGTTTCACAACTTCACCAGTTTTGTTCAAATCCTCACAGTTTGTCTGCCTCTAGCTGTACTGGCCGTGACAATGTCTCAAACTCTGATGCTGATGGCCCACTAGTTAAAAAATCAAAACATGCATCCTCACTGTACGTTTATGAAAGGCCAGCTAACACCACCACACCACAGCCAGGAAATCTTTATGATGAGCTGCGACATTATCAAGAGCTAGCTGCTAAGATACCCCCAACAGATGATGGAATTGATGTGATGTCTTTCTGGAAAAGTCATGGAGAAAGCCTTCTATTGTTGCACAAGGCTGCTATGAGTGTGTTTATGGTTCCTGCCAGTAGTGCACCAGTTGAAAGGGGCTACGTCTAGACTGGTATGATTTTTCGCAAATGCTTTTAACTGAAAAGTTTTTCCGTTAAAAGCATTTGCGGAAAAGAGCGTCTAGATTGGCATGGACGCTTTTCTGCAAAAGCACTTTTTGTGGAAAAGCATCTGTGCCAATCTAGACGTGGTTTTGTGTAAGAAAGCCCCGATCGCCATTTTCGCCATTGGGGCTTTTTTGCGCAAAACAGTTTTTAGCTGTCTACACTGGCCCTCTTGCACAAAAACATTTCCGGAAAAGGGCTTTTGCCCGAACAGGAATGTCAAAGCATTTGTGCAAGAAGCACTGATTTTGGACAGTAGAACATCAGTGCTTTTGCGCAAAATCAAGCGGCCAGTGTAGACAGCTGGCAAGTTTTTGAGCAAAAGCACCTGCTTTTGCAGAAAAACTTGCCAGTCTAGATGCAGCCAGGGTGTTTAGCCAAGGACGGATTGTAATGCGCTCACATCATGCCAGACTGGGTGATAATGTGGTGGGAAAGAAAATATTTCTCAAATGTAATACTGAATACTAACCTCGTTAATGAACGAAGACTTTTTTTTATTTCTAATTTCATTTTGTGCACCTAGTGTTACATAGCTGTAGCTCAAGGCTGCTATGAATATGTTTGTATAAATACATAAAGTGTGTCGTTTGTTACCTTTTAGCTGAATAGTCGAAAAACTAAACAAGACTACTAGTTGTTAGCAAGTATGGCAAGTACGATTCAGATTTATGTTAATAAATGAAAACAGATAATGATTATTGTTATTTATCGATATTTACGGCTTGTACAAAAGTGACATGACTTTTTTTACATTAAGCCTTGAAACTCGACTTGAGACTTGAACTGTAGTGACTTGAGACTTGACTTGGACTTGACAATGATGACTTGAAGACAAAACTGGGCATTTCACAATCATCAGTGGTTGTTTTGAAATCTAGAGAGAAAGTCCCTGATTGAACTTTCCTGGCCAATCCACATTGATGTCAGTGAAATGCTCCCACCATATTATGCACCATCAACACTTGCAATACTATTGAGAAGTACCCCTTGTGGTTTATGTACTCTGACAAGGTGTTCTGGTATCAAGAGAGGGATATGTGTTTTGTCTATCACCCTATCACAGTTAGGGAACCCATCATGGCAAAAGCATCCATTATGTGCTGCATGTTGCCCAGAGTCACTATCCTTCCTAGCAGAAGCCAACTAATGGCCCTGCACACTTGGATCACAACAGCTCGGGTGGTGGATTTACCAACTCCCAATTTATTCCCAACTAACTGGGAGCAGTCTGGTGCTGTAAGTTTCAACAGAGTGATCATCACTCACTTCTCCACTCTCAAAGCAGGCCTTGCTTTAGTATAGCTGAATTTCAGAGCTGGGAAAATTTTTGCACACATTTTCTGAAAAATGGAATTCCACATTCATAAGTTCTGCACTTCTCGGTGCAGTAGCTGCATAACAATGTCTAAGGGCTTGGATGCAACCCTGCCCATCAGGACTTCACTTCTGGGACCAGAAATAGCAATCCACCATGTTCCACTGCTGTGCGACTGCCAGCAGCAGCTGGGAATTGTTTCATTCTATGACTTGCAGCAGGGCTGCTTAAATGACATTGCAGTGCTCCACCCAGCAGCTTCTGTCTTGGCTCTGGACATACTGCAGAATAAGGTATAAGGTGTTTGTAATGTTCACAACAACTGTAAACAGCTGAACAGAGTCCCTGCTTCGAGGGCTATGGTGTATGTGCACCTAAGCCAAGCTTTTTAAAAAAGATATGAAAAAAATCATGGGTTGTTTGCCATTGATATCAGGGAAGGGGAGCAGAAAATTGCAACATGGGAAGTCACAGCCATTTCCCCTTATGATACTGTTTTGATCCCAGGAGGCACTGCAAATCCATCCTAAAACTCCCTGCAGCTGGTTGTACGGTGGGTTAGCTACCCTTGTGCACTGCTCCGTGCATTGATCCAAGCAGTGCTAGTGAAGACACACTCCACCAACTTAATGAGCATGATAGTATGGACACACCTGCCTGACAACAGCAGTGGCTAGATGTTGACTTAAAGTTGTAGTGTAGACAAGCCCTTAGACATCTAAAGATTCATAGAGACACCTAAAAGAATTTTCCAAAGCCCCTTAGGTGACTAACTACCATTTCCTTCAGTGGAAGTTACCCACTAAATACCTCTCTGTATCTTTTAAATATCTTTAAAAGTCTGGCTCCTAGCAGCTAAATGCCAAATTGCTTTTCTGCTTTAATTATTAACAAGAGGAGCTGAAAGCCTTAATGTAATAAGCTTATCTACTTGTTCCCTGTGCTGTATATCTAACAGTGCTGAATTTTTCCCTGCTATAATCACTCTAATTTAGTCACATTCCAATTCAGGTCTTCTGCCTTCCCATATGAAAACTACCCCTCCTTTTTTTGGCATTGTCCGCACATTATATCACTGTTGAATTTGTGCCAAAGAAATACCGAAGGGAGAAACACATGAAATGACTGTGCAAAGTGTCAAAACATATTTGTTTTTGTCTATTTACTAGAATTAGCTGAAAGACAAATGTCTGTAGGAACACTCATAAAAGGCCAGGGTTACAATCTTGAGGCATAAGTACAGCTAGAAGAATGACAGGTGCATTTTTAGAGAGACGAGGTGCATGAGGCAGTATCTTTTACTAGACCAACTTCTACTGCTGTGAGAGACAAGTTTTCAAGCTTACACAATGCTCTTCTTCAGGACTTGGAAAGTTACTCAAATTATCACAGCTACATACAAAGTGAAACAGATTATTTTGCATAAGTAGTTACTGTAAATTTCAAGGGACAATCCAAGGTGAAGTGGCCCATTAACACTCTTCCCATGATAGGGAGGAAAGGATTGGGGAAAGCAGCTTGAGGGATGTGGGAAATTTTTTAGTCTGTTGTAATGAGCTTTTGTTGTTTGTGAGAAGCGTTTGCCTGGACCACACAGAAATTCTCTGTAGGGTACAGATCCACTGAATGAAACATTTTTCTCCATAGATCCAAAGATCTTAAGATCTGTCATGTAGCCTCCAGCTGGCCACATGACTATGTATGAAGATTGCTTTAGAGCAATGGTTCACGGATTCTTAGCATTTTTATGTCAGAAGAGACCAGATCATCCAGTCTGACCACCTGCATATCATAGGCCATTACATTTCATCTAGTTACCACTGTATTGAGCTTAGTAACTTGTGTATGACTAAAGTATAATTTGTGTTTGACTAAAGAACATCTTCTAGAAAAACATCCAGTCTTGAGCTGAAGACATTAAGAGATGGACATTTCGGTGCATGACGTCCTGTTTGAGTGTATTTATCTGGGTCTGAGCCTGCAAACCTTTACTCACATCAGTCTTTACTCTTTCAAGTACCATTGACCTCACACAAGCAGGATCAGGCCTTCTATATATTATACAAATGACAATGATAAATAGCAATCTGTGGCTACATCTGACTTTTCTCAGATGCACAATAATTGTTTTGACTTTGGGGGGGAACCATAACAAACAAGATCAATGTGTTTTAGGGTAAGTTTTGTTATTGTGAAAATAATCTGAGACTCTATCAAATTGTCTGTCTGTCTTGTCTCTCTACCTAATCTAATTTATAACCCTTCCATAAAACACTTGGGCATCCAAAAAGGCATAAGAGCAATAAAATGGAAGCTGCCATAAAGCTGACAGTGAGGCTAATTCTTGGTGCATTAATTCCTCTGTTTTCCAGAAAAAGGTGGCAAACCAGCCGAATCGGATTCCCTCTATATGGTTAGCAATGTACAGGGCTTTTGGACGGCCAATCCTTCTTAGCAGCACCTTCCGTTACTTGGCTGACCTGCTGGGATTTGCTGGGCCACTATGCATTTCTGGCATAGTCCGTAGCTTCCAAAATACTAATCAAAATTATACAACAAGTGCAAAAGTAAGTAGTCAATATTGATTAAAAGACTTTGTGTAGCATCAGTTTTTGAGGCTTTCTGTATTCCAGCTGTGTATTCTTATTGGCAACTGATAACCATTTTGTTACTTTCATTATTTCTTTCAAGTGAAATGAGTGTTGGTTGAAGGGGGTTGCTAGATTCTCAGACTTGGAAGTTGAAGTGTTTGGGTTGTCACAGTGCAAATACAGCATAGGCAGGGGCAGTGCAAGCATCCCCATACCTTTCTGCTAATGTTTGTCTCTGTTCAACCTCCTGGATAAATAGCTAAGGGGCAGTTACTAGAAGCTTGTAGAAGTAGGTTAGAAAAAAAAACTTGTGGAACTAGAAGAGAGAATTCTCTTCACAGGGTTAGACCACACGACTGTACCCACAGTGTTGGATTGCAAGAGCGTAAGAACTATTAAAGCTCTTTATCATCACTGTAAGAACGCTTTGGATCACAGCCACAGAGTCAAAAGTCAAAGTACATTTTCTTCATTGGAACCTTAAATTCTGGTTTCATTGCACAATCAAAGAATGAGGTGTTTCACTTCAGAAGTGATAATTTTTGCTCTGAAATTTGGGAAACCACAGGTCTGTTTTCATTCTCAGTGCACTTTTCAATGTATCCATTTCCTGTCGTTTTAATTACCGCTGGCTGGGGCAAACACCTTTTGGAACCTGTGAATTTAAGGAGAGCTCAGAATAAATGGAAGAACTTAAAACCTCTGCCAGAGAAGTCAGACTGGCCTGATGACTCTTGAACTGCTTTCAAAATACATGTAATGTATTTTCATAAGCTTCCTCCCCGTTGCCCTGGCCATTTTGTTTGGCTTTTAAATTTTCTACCAATTTTAGATAAGCTCTTATTTCTGTCTCTCCCATCATCCTCTTGTCTGAGAACTTCCCAAACATTAATTAATGTATCTAACATAATCCTCCCCCTACTTGAGATAGGACAGTATTATTATCCCCAGTGCACAAATAGAGAACTGAGGTATAGACAGAAATTAAGAGCTAGCATTTCAAAGATATTTACGTTCCTACAGATATAGCTAAGCACCTAATGGGAGTCTCAAACAGAGCCGGCTCTAGGCTTTTTGCTGCCCCAAGCAAAAATTTTTTAAAGCAGTTTAAACTCTTTCCTGTACCCAGAAAATGGAAAATAAACTCCTGTATGCTCCTTATCTCATTGCCCTTCTTTCAAGCATACCCCTCCGGATTTATTCCCCACCCAGACTGGGAGACGAGTTCGGGAATTTTCCTGCCTTAAAATCTAACAATCGCGAGTGTCTCCTTCCCCGCTGCTCTCTCCTTTCAGTAAAAGGCTCCCAGGTCTGACTTTCCATTGCCACTTAATTAAAAAGAAACTCCTGTATGCTCCTTATCTCATTGCCCTTCTTTCAAGCATACCCCTCCGGATTTATTCCCCACCCAGACTGGGAGACGAGTTCGGGAATTTTCCTGCCTTAAAATCTAACAATCGCGAGTGTCTCCTTCCCCGCTGCTCTCTCCTTTCAGTAAAAGGCTCCCAGGTCTGACTTTCCATTGCCACTTAATTAAAAAGAA